AACTCCCAAAATAATTAGGTTGCAAAGGAAAACTCAACACTTTTTTTTTTCTTTTGCTTATGGTATTTATTCTGATTCTGAAGTTATCGCAAATAGAAGCCAAAAAAAGGCTATTTGGCTGACTCAAGAATGAATAAAGAAGATATCAGGAAAAAACTGCCATAGCCAAACAAGAAATTAACACCAATAAAAGGAAGAAGGTAACCACAGGGATTGAAAACCTACTGGGTCGGATAGTAGAGCACTGTTCAACTCTATAATTTTTTTGAGCATTTTATCAAACTGAGCTGCATCAAAAATAAGCATTCCTTTCTGCAACCAACATGATGAAGAATTGGTATAAACTAGAAAATGACAGAAACCATGAACCAAAATGGAAAATATCTATCCCATTCATGACAAAGTAAGAAATAATGCCTGGTAAAATAAATGAATGATTAGCAGCACTTCGTGAAATATAATAGCAAGATTGTTTAGCATCCTCACATGGAACCAAAGCTTTAATCCCATTCATTTGCAATTTACTTCCAAGTTGATTAATAGGAAATAATCACAAATTCTATTACTGAAAAGAGCAACCATATCTCATACTGCTTAAACCACCAAGTAGAGGTTCACAAATAAGAAACCAAGAGCGGCATAAACTCTTAGTATGAGAAAAAAAGGTACTCATTTTTAGAAAAATAACTATTTCAAGGGTGTCCATCTACACCAAACAAAAAATTGGAAAACCTTTTCAAGGGACAAGGTTGGAGTGTCTGGCCAGCTTACTGCAACTTTTCAATGAAATTCCATCTAGAGCCATATTTAACATGTATTGAACCTCTTGATATAGGTCTATTGAGTGCTTGCAAACATCACTTCCCATTGCAAAAAAAACATCCACATGTTATCCTCTACTATGAAAATTTGAAGTGAACAACAATTTTTTCTTTTTCCCAAAAACTTTATAAGTAAAGAATAATAGAAACGGTCATATATACACATTTAGGTGCTGCTTGGGAAACTGTACAACTGGTTTACAGTTAGTTTGACTCCAAACCAGTCCTAAACTATTACATTGAAATCTGATTTCTTTTCTTTTTTTTTAAAAAAAAATTTAAAAAAATCAATTTTATAACTGATACTTTGACAGTAAGAAACTCAAATGAGAAAAACTTAAAACGATTACATTTATTCAGCTTTGATCCCAAACAATTTTTTAATGCAAGAAAATTCATACTCAAACGGTTAAAATGAGTACCATAATAGCACACCTTAGGGATATGCTTGAACAAAGGCTTAGCTGAATTAGCTGTTTGCCAAAAAAAGAAAGTTAAGAAGTATATTAGAGCACAAATGTTATGAAAGGATTTCATCAGCTATTACATTAAAAAATATGAATTACTTGTCCTTTAACATATACAAACCAGAATTATAAGAGGGCTCCCCCGGTGTATAAGCACTTGCTGCCATGAAAAGAGAGAATGTTAATCATGCCAAGAAAGATCCAACAAGGACTACAGACATCATCAAAGGCTACTCAACAGTCATGAAAGTACCACAGAGACATTATACTTACAGCCAGTGTAGGGATCACGAAATGATGGATCAAGAGAAAAATCCTTTTGTCCAGTATTTTGGAGAATAAACTCAACAATTTGCTGACGGTAAGCAAGAGGAAGATTTTCCCTCAGAAGCCACTTGTCAGCAGCATCATATGGATTATCTAGAAAAATCAGTAATTGTATTATTATTTTAAGAACTAATAATAATAAATGAAAAATAATTTTCTTAAGAAACTTTTAGATTCATTCATACTACAAATCATAGCATCTTATCTGCAGCAATAAGGAGAGATTATGAGTAGGAGGCCATTACTATAATATGCATGGGAAAAAACCAAAATATTTTTTGGAAGAAGAATACCATTACTACTAGGAATTGAGCTAATAATAAAAAAATATGGAAGCCACAGTCACTGTTAGTACCATTAGCAGTCATGTTCACAAAACATGATTTAAGTTGACATGATTCTAAGCATAGCACTCTATTCTTATCTATTTTTGTCATAAGTCAGAAAACATGATACCATACCCTTTAAAGTTCATTTTTTTTCTCTTTACAAACAACATAGCTATTATCATTCTCAGAGAATGAAAAATTAAAGAGAAGAAAGTTAATGATACCAAAGAATCAGCCCCACCACATTAAAAGGAAGTGAATAAAAAGAATATGAAAGGACTTGTAGGAAACACAAGATCAAGAAGAAATATACCTGATCGATTATAGGGCAACTTACGAATGGGTTCCCCATCTCCAATATCAACATCAAAAACTGACTCAAAGAAATAAAAGAAGGTTAAGAATACACACACACAC